TATGCAAATCACATTCGTTATGCAAATCATGCATATACTTATTGAATGTGCGAATTAAATATTTTGTGTGTATGCAATCCATGTATGGTACGCCAATATGAAAAATATTTGGTTAGAATAGAAAACAATATTTAATGAGTGTGGAAATATTTAATGAGCATGCAAATCATATAAATATAAAGCGTAGGTTAGATATGGCACAAGGCCGAAAGTATGGGGCGCCTAGTGAGGATCTAACTCACTTTTCAGTCGTAACTGATCTAGCTAGACAAGTTTGTTAACCATTACATTACGCAGAGGTACCCCAAATCATATAAATGAGTATACAAACCATAAATAATTGTTGAGTATACAAATAATGTGGATATTAGATAAGCCTGAAAATCATGTGGTATGCAAATTATATTTGATCAGTAAGCAAATTATCTAAATAGTTGGTACGCAAACTAGATAGATATTTTATGAGTATACAAATCCTAAATATTTTGGTGAGCCTGCAAATAATATAGATATTTCATAAGTATTAAATTCAAGTAAATATTTGATGCGCATTTGGTATGTAAATCCCAATTATTTGATGAGTATGCAAATCAAACACTTGGTATGCAAATTATATATATATTCGATGAATATGCAAATCGAATATTTGCTATTTAAATCGTATTTACTGTATGCAAATCATTTTTGATCATATTTGATTAGTATGCAAATTAAATAGATATTTTATGAGTATCAGTCAGTCAGTTATGTGCCATGTGATACACGCTTAGGCGATCATGTATCTTTTGATACATGACTGACGAGGCAGATTTTTTCCAGCAGTAAGTTGATATTTCTTTCTGCGGTAGAACCCAGTCTGCTATTTACCCATAGCGGGGAGAAGAAAATCCATACCTTTCCCAAGAGTGAACGTAATGGATTCGACTGGAATTCGAACTCGGCTCTCCGATTCCTCAATCAGAGCCGCTATCCATTACTCCACCATAATGAGTATATTATGAGTATACAAATCATAATATTTGGTAAGCATACATATAATATATATATTTGATGCGCATGCAAATCATTTGGTATGCTAATCCCAATTATTTGATGAGTATGCAAATCAAATACTTGGAATGCAAATTATATAAATATTCGATAAATATTCAAATCGATTATTTCGTATTCAAATCATTGGATCAGTATGCAAATCATATCGAGCCTTGGTATGCAAATTAAATTAGATATTATATGAGTATGCAAATCATACCAATATTGGATGGATATGGCAGATCATATGGAGGCACGGTGGAGTAATGGATAGCGGCTCGGATTGTGGAACCAGAGAGCCGAGTTCGAATTCCAATCAAATCACGTCATTCACTTACGTGCCAATACCCTTGAGAAAGGTATGAATCATTTTCTTCTCCCCACAGCTATGGATAAGTAGTAGGCCGGGTTCTATAGCCTTGGATGGCAACTATTGCAGAAATGGCAACCTACTGCAGGAAAAATCTACCTCGGCAGTCATGTATCGAGAGATACATGATCGCCTAAGCGTGTATCACGCATGGCACATAACTGACTGATAAGAGATAATATAAATATTTGGTACGCAAATTAAATACATATTTTTATATATATATGCAAATATTTGATGTGTATACAAATTGTATCAATATATAAAACATTGCGTTAGATACGCCTGATTTGTGTATTGATAAATTTGTGTCGTTCAGTAAGGATCGAACGCGTTATAAAAAAAGGTTGTAAAACGAACACGTTAATTCTGATGCATTGGACTTGGTTTGTTTTGAATGAGCAGCAGTTAACCCCTTCCCCGCCGCTTAAATATTTATAGCAGATGATTATTGCTTATGCTCGATTCGATTGGTTCTAATTACCGAAGATAATTGACCAGTAATTTATAGACTCGTACAATAACAAAGTGTATGGCATCGTGGACGGGAGTTGAATCAAGTTCATTATCTAAATGGTCTTCTCTGAGAAATCAGTGGTTTTATTTAAAGTAAATTTTTCATCGAGAGAATGAACTAAGATTTTGGCTTTTGGCCAAACTGATCCTCTTGTAGTCATTATAATTTTTGTTATTTTTCTCTTTTTCTTGCGTCTTTTTTGTTCTTCGTTTCCTTTTCTTTTTGTTGCAATTGTGTAAATAGAAAAATTCTATATTTATTTTTTATTTTTCCATTCACTTCTCTATTTTTTTTTTTTTTTGTCATTTCTCTTATTTTTCCCTTTTTTTTTGGAAATTTCCTTTCTCGTGTTTTCTTTGATGTCTTTTTCTTTCTCTTATTTTTCCCTTTTTTTTCTTTCTTTCTTGTATCTTCTTTCCTTAATCGTTTTCCTTCTCTTTTTTTGCATCTTTCATTTCTGTTTTTTCTTTTTTTTTTTTTTTGCATTTTTCCTTTCTCTTCTCTTCTTCCTTTCTTGTATTCTTCTTTCTTTTTTCCTTTTCTTCCTTTTTTGGAAATTTCCTTTCTCGTGTTTTCTTTGATGTCTTTTTCTTTCTCTTATTTTTCCCTTTTTTTTCTTTCTTTCTTGTATCTTCTTTCCTTAATCGTTTTCCTTTCTTTTTTGCATCTTTCATTTCTGTTTTTTTTTTTTTTTTTTTTGCATTTTCCTTTCTCTTCTCTTCTTCCTTTCTTGTATTCTTCTTTCTTTTTTCCTTTTCTTCCTTTTTTGGAAATTTCCTTTCTCGTGTTTTCTTTGATGTCTTTTTCTTTCTTTCTTTCTTTTCTTTACTTTCGCCGTTTTTCTTTGCCTTCTTCTGTTTTCCTTTCTCCATTCATTTTTCGTTTTTCTCTTCTCCCCTTTCCGTGTCTTCTGTTCCTTATCTTCTTTCTTTTCCCCGTTCCCATTTCATCCTTTCTTTATTCACCTTCTTTCTTTTCTTTTTCTATCCAATTTTCGCTTTACAATTTCTTTATTTCCTCTTCTTTCATTCTGTCTTTATTTCTCCTCTGAATTCTTTTTCCTTTCCTATTCAGTTCTTCCACTTTTTTTTTTCTTTTTCTCATATTTTTTTACTTTTCTTTTAGTGTTTTTTTTTTTTTTTCATTTATTTAATTCTTTTCATTTTCATGATTTTTTTCCGCATCCTACTTTATCAACTCTCTTTCATTTTAGATATTTTCATCTTTTGATCTGTTTATTTTCACTTGATTTTTCTTTCTTTTCCTTTCTTGATATTCTGTTTTTATCATTTGTTCTCTCTTTTCCAATGCTTTCTTTCGTTTTTCATTCCTTTCCATTCCTTCCTTTGTTTTCACCCAACTCTTTCATTTTCTTTTAGTGTTTTTCTTTCACTATTACTTTCGTTTCTTTACACTTTCATTTATTCATGTCTCCACTTCTTTATTTTTTTTATTTTTTCGTCTTCCTTTTTCATTTTCCTTTCCTTCTCTCTTTTCCTGTTCCTTCTGCGTTTTCTTTCTTGTCCAATCTACACTTCTTTCTTTTCATTCTCCCTCTTTTTTGTTTCTTTACTTCCCAATCTTGTTCGCTATTTTCTTTTTCACGTATCTTCAAATACATATTAGTGTTTAAGCCTTTTTATTATATCCTTACTCTGTCCTGGACATTGAGTTCTACCTGGATTCTATCCTCTTGGAATTATTTTTTATACAAATATATATGTATGTGTATGTATGTATGTATATATATTTATATATTTTAGATATATGATTGCATATGTATGTGTATATTTACCACTAATATTATCATATATATATATATATATATATATATATATATATATATATCGGATCCTAGTCCTATTGCACAACATTTAAAAACACATTCCTGTCCACATTCGCAATACAGGAAAATAATTACTGACAACATTAATATACTAGACGACGAAAATAATAAACAAAAACTTCAAATTATCGCGGACATCTAAGACAACACTCTCGAGGCAACCAACCAATACTGAACAAAATTTATTACAAGTGTAGCAGCAACGTTTTGAAGTGGATTCAATTCCTGGTTAACTCCCTTATATTGGGACGCTTGTTTGCTAAGATTCCATAGCTACAACGGATAAATTTAAAGTTTCAAAATGATTATAAAAGAGCGCGTTCAGGCGTGTTTTTCTTTGGGGGTGGGTAAATACCATCACAACGATCACAATAAGTTTGTCTTTGTAATTCAACCCTGACGATGATCTCAGAGGAGATCGAAAGTACTTAAGTAGGAAAAAACTACGGCGCCTTTCTTGATGAATTTCATCTTAACATCAAGAAACTGATCAGAGAACTAGAAAGGATTATTATAAAAAGAAATAGACATAATATGTCTATATTATTCAATGAAACAATTTTGAATATGCTGCCTAAATATACATATTTTAAATATATATATTGTATATTTGAGAAGCACTCCCTCTTTTATACAGGTTTCATTGAAGACAACTAACAAGTTACTATTTATTATAAGCGTATTATATTTTTCTTGCATTCGTACAAGGGATTCCGTTTTTGAACATAATGTGTGTAAGAATTGGTTTCTTTTTTTTTCTTATTAATTAATTTTATTAATAATAAAAAGAAAAAAACAACTCTCAATAACATCAATTATAATTCTGAAGCTGATTACAATGTGCTGGCTATGTTTCGGGAATTAAAACATTTCTATTGTTATAAAAAAAAAATCTACATATTCAGGCAAATAAAAAAAACATCTTTGATAATGTCCAGTTGTTGTGACCAAGTAAATTACAAAAAACTGGTTTGCAGATATATCGCATATTAAACACTAAGTACACCAGAAGAGTATTACACGACTAGTAAGAGTGTATCGTATTAACTAGCACTCAATCTATTCACTGTTCACTGTTCCCGGAAGCCTTCTACTAATCTTATAGTATTTAAACTATATTTTTATCATATATATATGTGTGTGTGTGTGTGTGTGTGTGTGTAGAGAGAGAGAGAAAGAGAGAGTGGGGAGTGAGATAGACCAACAGATAGATTTTATATGGTTCTTTTGGATTCATGTTCTTTATATCTATGTTATTTCGTTCACTATTTATTTCCGTTTCCTCTTTCTTTACCTTTCACCACTCAACCATAACTTCTCATATTTTCCGTTCTCTACTTTTTTATTTATTTTTCCTTTTTTTAATTTCTTTCTTGCGTGTCGTCTTTCTTTACCTTTCATCGATCCACCGTACCTTATATACATTCTATCACCTCATATCATTCTTTCTTTCTGTCGTTTCCTCTTTCTTTGCCAGTCATCAATCCACTATACCGTATATACTTTCTACCTCCTTATATTACCATTTCTTTCTTTTTTCTTTCTTTCTTTCTTTTTTTCTTTCTTTCTTTCTTTCTTTGCCAGTCATGAATCCACTATACCGTATATACTTTCTACCTCCTTATATTACCATTTCTTTCTTTTTTCTTTCTTTCTTTCTTTCTTTCTTTCTTTCTTTCTTTGCCAGTCATCAATCCACTATACCGTATATACTTTCTACCTCCTTATATTACCATTTCTTTCTTTCTTTCTTTCTTTTTTCTTTCTTTCTTTTTTCTTTCTTTCTTTCTTTCTTTCTTTCTTTCTTTCCTTTCGCAGTCAACATGCCACCTTAACATTTACCATTTCTACCTCTTTATATTATCCCTTCTTTCTTTCATTTCCTCTTTCTTTGCCATTCAACAATCCACCGTACAATATATATTTTTTACCTTCTCTTGTTATTTTTCTTTCTTTCTTTCTTTCTTTCTTTCTTTACTTTCCATCACTCCACCCAACCATACATAGTTTCTTCTTATAATATCCTTTCTTTCTTTATGTTTCATCACCATACCCTGACAGCTATAGTTTCAACCTGTTCATATTAACTCTCTCTCTCTCTCTCTCTCTCTCTCTCTCACACACACACACACACACACTACCATATGTTCTTTCTCCTTCCTGGTATTATCCATTCTTTCTTTCTTATTACGTTTCCTCTTTCTTTCCTTTTCATCACCCCAACCTACTATATGGTATATATTTTCAACCTACTCATATTATCCATTATTTTTCTTTCTTCCTTTATTTATTTCTTTAACTTGCGTTTCCTCTTTCTTTTCCTTCCATCAGACCACCCTTCCATTTATAATCTCAACTTCTTCATATTATTCCTTCCTTCCTTCTTTCTTTCTTTCTTTCTTTCTTTCTTTCTTTCTTTCTTTCTTTCTTTCTTTCTTGCTTTCTGTTTCTCCGTGTGTCTTTTCTAATTTCATTTTCTTTGCTTTTGCAAACTTTATTTTTGTCTTTTTTCCTTTTCTGCGATTATCTCATTTCGTCTTTCTTATCGTTCTTGCTTAACTCATATATATATATATGTGTGTGTGTGTGTGAATTTCTTTTAAATCCTCTTTCTTTCTATAACTCGTTCTCCCTTCTTCATCTTCAAGTATTTCTTTTCACTCTTTTCTCTTTAATTGCTTTCTTTAACAATCAAAACGATTTACCGAATTATTTTTATAGCAATTAATGTAGCAAGTTTTATCTAAGTAAAGCACGAAATGGTTTTTAACTAAAAATTGCCGCCAATACTTCACAATGATTCTGACCAAGCTGTCCAGGATGAGAATTCTATAACAGTCTTTTGTTATTGCTTTTAATACTAATTGACCTGGTATGGGTCTCATGGATTTTGGTCAGAATTGATTAGAGATGTTAACATGTCAATGTTTTGTTTTGTGAAGAAGAAATTTCAAGACATAAATAATTCGAGTTGGAATTGGGGTCCTGGAATTGTTTAGAAAAGCTTCTGGTAGGCTCGTTGAAGGGGTCCCTTCCAGCCCATGTTTTTTTTTATTAATATTCAAACAATACAAAGCCAGAGAGCCACTCAAGGTAGAGGGTTACTGTGTGGAGTTGTATTAGCGTAAGAAAGGGCAAGAAGTGAAGTAATGAAAAAAATTTAGAATGCTGGCAAGGACGTTTGAAGTAGACTTTAGAAGGAACCGGAAACCTAATCCTAAACAAGGAACAAGGGATAAACCTCTGATTGTATTCAATAGACCGAGGAGGAGTGTGAACCGGGTGATAGGTAAGCCTATCTTCAGGAAATACATTTTTTCTTACAAGGACAGCTCACACCATAGAAAGGAGCTTTATCTATCTCTCATATATATATATATATATATATATATATATATATAAACACTAATATTCCATGGTCATAATTTATTCCATTGAAATCGTAAATACGATCCAATTCATCAGACCTACAAATTCAAAAAGAAAACAGAAAAAAACAACTCCAGAAATAAAAACAGAATTTAGAGAGAGTGTAAGTATGAGGAGGAGGGAGATCAAACCTTAACAGAGAGAATCTTAGGAGAGGTGGGTGGAAGGGGTTTAAGTATCCTTACTCTGTCCTAGACATTGAGTTCTACCTGGATTCTTCCTCTTGGAATTTTTATTCTAAAAATATACATGTATGGGTATTTATATATTTTGCATATGTATGTATATTTACCACTGATATTATCTATCTATCTATCTATCTATCTATATATATATATATATATATATATATATATATATATGTGTGTGTGTGTGTGTGTGTGTGTGTGTGTGTGTGTGTGTGTGTGTGTGTGTATATATATATATATATATATATATATATACGTTTCACCAGTTTGTGACTGGAAGGGCTGATTCCGGGGATGATATAAATCCAGGGAGGGCTCAGTGTAGACTACAGAGCATTATAATGATAAGAAGAAGATGGAGACTTTAATTATCCACGAATGGAGAAATTACACCGGGCGGATACTTTAGTTTGGTAGTGGGAAGAGGTGAGAGAAAGGGGTTGAGTAAAGATAGGGCTTAGAGATTGGGGGTTAGTAGTGGTCGGTTCTCTCATCCAAGAATTGACTCTACACTTTTGGTATTTTATTATGGGTCTGAGTATTACAAGTAAGAAAATAAAAAATGTCCATTAATACTTCCGATATATATATATATATATATGTGTGTGTGTGTGTGTGTGTGTGTGTGTGTGTGTGTGTGTGTGTGTGTGTGTGTGTGTAGTGATCTCATTAGTTCTCGGTGGATGAGATGACCAAGCGTAAGATCTCGTCTCTCTTGCAGGATTCGGAAGCAACAGGAAATCAGGAGAAGTAAAAAAAAAAATACAAACGTGTGTTTGTTTTTTTGTTTTGTTTTGTTTTGTTTTTTTTTATCGGAAACTCGGCAACTTATAATTTAAAAAGAAAATGCCCTTACCTCTTACAGGGAAACTCAATATATATATACATGTATGTACATTCTTCCACCGTGCCGTCTGCGTCATATGTACGAGGCAAACGGCATAAGTTGAAACAAGACTAATGTCGACGGCGTCGTAACCACGAATCGTCATAGGTCGGGACTGTCGTGAACCGGGAACTTACTGCATATGTGTCACTGATTGTAATTGTAATGGCAGAAATAATAAAAATGGCAAACATATGATCAGTAATATTAGGGAATATTTTTTTATTATAAGAAAATGGAAACTTCATATGTTTACAAATAGAAAGTGATTCCAGTAATATTTGTTGATAATGATGAGACCTGAGTCGAAGGGAGACAAAAAAAGGGTGCCGCTTTAACGTGTGTCCTACAGATCAGTGTATCCTACCACCACATTTGTCTCCTACATTATCTAACGAAAGGGGAAAACCAAAAAAGGATGCCATTTATTGTTGCATTATAAAATTTAAAACAATATATATATATATATATATATATATAATTATTTATTTAAAAATATGATTCCAACGCTGCATAAGAGTTCTCATGTTTCAAAACAAGAGCCGAAAACTTCAATATAATTATTTGAATTAAATTGAATTAAAGTACCAAGCTCTGTTCCATCTTCAAGCGAATTTTTTTTTTTTTTTGAATAACTTATTCCTGAAATTTACGCGTTTTATAAGCATATTCATTATTGAAATTAAAATTACTATGGTAACGGCTAGAGCAAGTGTTTAAAGAAAAGGGGCGTAAGGGTTAATAATTTGCATCAATATCTCAGTTGCATTCTAAGACGTCAAGTCAGGGTAAGGTTGGGGTGTCTAAATTTAAAGCGGAAGATGACATCGTCTAGTCTGGTTAAGTGTCTATGGAGATTTATTAATTTTTTATCTTTTTCTGAAAGGTTGTGTGTGTGTGTGTGTGTGTGAGTGTGTGTGAAATAAGAAATTTTACTAAAATTCATAAAACAAGATATTTGAATCCTTTAAATAAAAACATTCTGTCTTTTAATATATCGAGAAAAAAAGTCACGATAATGCCTTAATAATGTAGGATACAAATATGGCGATAGGACACATACTAAAACGGCACCCAAAAAAAGGCCTGGATCATCTTTGAGATCCAATTAATTATTCAACTAACACCAATTTTTTCGATCGTTTTTTTAAGACGCCATCTTATTCGGATAGTCTAGTTGGTGAAATGGCTACTTAGCAATTGGGAAAAAAGACAGATATGCGTGTACACACACTCATACACACACACATACTGACAATGAATAATATATACGGAATTCAGTTTGATTAATTTTTAAGCCAAAAAAAGGGATATTCAATAGTAGAGAAAAAAGAAGTAAAGGTGTCGGGAAATGATAAAAGTAAGATTAAAAAAGAAGGAACGATATTTTAAAATATACAAAAATAAAATAAAATAAACGCCTAGACATGTGTCGAATAAGAGTTGTAAAGAAATAGGTACATTAGTTGGACAAGGAAAGAACAAATAATAATAATAATAATAATAAAAAGGGTTCTTTTCTTAATTCCCTCATTGAAGAGTTACACTGCGCTTCGCTCCGGAAGGGAAGTGGACTATTTCTAATGCAACTATACGAACCAAAAAAGTAATCGTTCTCTTTTGTGATCAGGACATATATCTATTGAATGGAACTGAGTTACCAATGCATACTTAGGTAAGTACCTACGCACACAGACTTTGTGGATGGGAAGAGGTAGAGCCATTCAATTTCGTTCTTTTCTCTTATTTTAATGAAAAATAAGGGTGAAAACGATTTTTGGCTGACATACTTAGAGACAAGATGAGATCGTGAATCGAATGAAAACACTTAAAATTATTGATGCTAAATGCTCAAAATGGGCAGACAAGAAACTACTTATATTACGGCAAAGTCCATAAGTGAACATCTTAAATGGATGAACCAGACGTACTTGTAAGAGGTGATAATCATTTCTGCTCTGATCTATTAAATGTTTAGACGCGTGTGAGTTATAAATAACACGTAATTCTGTGAAATAATTGTAACTTTGGACATATTTGTGTTAATATATATATATATATGTGTGTGTGTGTGTGTGTGAGAGAGAGAGAGAGAGAGAGAAAGAGAGAGAGAGATTTGGACAGTAGATTTTCATTTACACAAATTTGCTTAGAGACCAATGAAAATGCTTTGTTCTGATTTGTTTTATCGATATTTCGGGCCACTTTTTGCGAATTTCTGAGACATCTTCGAATATAAATTCCCGAATGTCTAAGTACTTTTGGTTTTCATGAGTCATTATCAAAGAGTTTTTATTTTATTTTAGGGCTATGTCAGTTACATCATTTTTCA